CTTTCCTAGACCTTTCCATGAGAAGCGAACTCCTACCTTGTTGAAGCCCCGGCTATTTTGAAGTGTCTCCCACTTGCAGCCCAAATGCCTCTATTATTTCTTAGACATGTCCCTCTATTTGACGCCTCCCCGGTAAGTACATCTTTACTGGTTTCAAATGCTACACGCAGCTGGATTGTTTCTCGTCCTATGCATCTTGCAAGGTGTTCAGACCACTGGACATGTCCTTGGCTGGGGGCTTCGCCCACCTGGCCACCAGGATGTGCTGGCTTCCCTGCTGACCCGGCCAGACATTTTCCTGGAACTATCACACTCACGAGTCAGCCAGAGGGGCCTGGGGGTGCAGTGCTTAGGTGCTCGGCTGCTAACCCCAAGCTTCAAAGCCACCCGCTGCTTCCGTTCCGATTCACAGCTATGGAAAGCCACACGGGACAATTCTGCTCTCTCTGAGGGGGTCACTTGCTCTGAGTCAACTGGCCCAGTGGCAGCGGGTTGTTTTGCTTTGGGGGGGCAACCCGGCCATCACTGCTATCCTTGTTAGTTCAAAGTTGACCCACACCCACACTCTAGCCCCCGACCTTGCCCAGACCTGCAGATGACCTTGTCACCCGGTGCTCCCCTAAGGTAGAGGTGCACAGGCTGAGACTCTGGCTGGCGCATCCTAGGGTGAACCCCTTCAGGACTTGAACTGAAGGGACAGTGCAGACTGCCCCCGGGAGCCACTGGGTTACTTTCACATGAGCTTGTCTCAAAGGCTGACATCTGGGTGCAAGTCACCCCCCCTCATTTCCCCTCTGGCCCTTCCCCCACTGCCATCCCCAGGTACCTGCTGCCGGCTGAGCAGGATGTGGGCCAGGTGCTTGCCAACCTCGGCTGATCGGTGGAGGCACACGCCCCAGGGGTTGTCGATGACGTTGGCGACGCTGAGCAGGGAAGCAGGCCAGGTCAGAGCCGCCACGATGCCTGGGGAAGTGGGAGACCACAGCGATGAAGCAGGTGGAGGTCCTTCTGGGAAAATGACCGGCTGGCGGGTGCTTTTAGAGTGACTTGTGTACAGAATGGACATTCGAACTCAGAACCTGCAAGTTAGGTCTCCCAAGGGCTGTGCAGCTGCTGTAAAGCTGAGACTGGAAGCCCTTGAAACTCTGATGCTTGCACTAGACTTCTTCTGCTGAAGCACTTGCCAGGTAGGATCACAAACCTGGGGATGGTGCCCATCCCCGCGCCTACCCTGCAGCCGCCCGCTTTGCCTCCTAACTCTGCAGGATCCTCCATGCGTGAGTGACTGACTAGTTCCTCCATCTACTCTGGGCTCAGTCACGTGACTTGCTTTGGCCCATGAGATCCTGGTGAACGTGAGGCTTGAAATGGACCGTGCATCAAGGCCTCAAGTAGAGAACGTTTTGGACATGACGATGGCAACATATGTACAAATGTGCTTGAGACGACTGATGTATGGAATGTCATAAGGGCTGTAAGAGCCCCCAGTAAAATGTTTAATAAATAGATAAATAAGAAGAGAACTGCAGAGCAGAAAGTTAAAAATAAAAGAAATGGACCGTGCACTGGGGGTCCCTTCTTTGGCTCTTCTCCTTGCGGTCCGTGCAGGCCCGCTGCCCCAGGAGAGGGTGACTGCGGGACAGAGTTGCTTTGGTTGCTCCAGACAAGGTTAGCCTAGATCAGTGGGCAGTCGGCTGACCCCAGGACACGTGTGCAGGCCCAGCTCAGCTCAGCCAGCCCCCAGTCTCATGACTGGAGCGCTTCAATAACAAATGCTTGTTACTTTTAGCCAGCGAGTGTTGGGCGGCTGGTTAGGCTGTGATAGCTAACGGATTCATGATGAAATGACGTGGCTGCTTGCCTGTCTCTTCCCTGCAAAGACCAGGCACTTCTGGCACACAGGAACTGCAGCCTGCACCTCTCTGTGCCTTAGGGCCTACCACAGTGCCAGGGTCCCAGGCCTGAGGCCCGCAAAGGGATGGGAGCAGGTGGGGCGCTCTTGCATGTGCTAATTCGGGGAGACTTACCAGACAAGACCGTGTACTTCAGGGCCTCCTGGGCCACCATGTTGGCCAGACCACTGAGGATGGTCTCCAGGGCGTTGCCGAGTTCCATCAGGTACTTGGCTTCCCAGGCCAGGCAGTACTGCTCACTGCTGTGGGCCAGCGCAGCCCACGGGGCGCTGAAGGTGCCTGCAGAGGACACAGCGAGATGGGAACTCTCCAGTCTGCACGAGAAGACGCTTCGATCTGCCTTTTCTGGGCAGGCAGTGGCAGATGGACACTCACACCTGCAGGGATCACAAGAGCCCATCCCCTGCCGATGAGGGGGCAGCTGTAAGCAGACACTACAGGGCACAGTACTGCCTGGGGAATGAGCAGGCTGGGGTTAACATCCCAACGAACGAAAAAGAAACACATGGAGTTGGGTTTGAATCCTGCATCTGTGGCTCACTTGCCACCTGTGGCCTCTTGCCACCGATTGGGATAAGTACAGCCCCTACCAGGCAGAGAAGGTAGGATCACAGGCAGGGGCTCCTTTGAGTTCCCTTTGTGAAGGTAAAAGGCCTGGCTTGGTAGCCACAGACCGGGAGTTCAGTTAACGTTAGACCCAGTGTGTGGGGAGGGGCTGAGGGGTGCCTGGTCAGGTCTGGAAACTGAGCCTGGATGCTTTCTTCCAGGGAAGATTGGTGGCATTCCCCTTGGCTTAAGACTAGGCATTATCTGCAGTGATGCCCTGGTTAGACACTGCTGCTGGGAGGCCAGACTGCTGCATTCCTGTGACCCCCATTGGAGTGCCTAATCAGAAACGTTAGGCCTGATAAGGGAGGCTGGGAACTGAGCCGACTTCCTTCCCAGGGGAACGGCTTTGTGATGGGCCCAATGAGAACCTTTTTGTTCTACCTGGTGCATAGCAGCCACAAGTTAGGCTGCAAAACTCAAGGTCAGGAGTTCAAAACCACCAGCTGCTTTGACAGAGAAAGATGAGGTTTTCTATTCCCACAAAGAGCGACAGTCTCAGAAACCTGCAGGGGCAGTTCTACCCTGCCCTATAGGGTTGCTGTGAGTTGGCATTGACTTGATGGTGGGGAATGTAGGCCTGCGTGTCATATGGCCACCTGAGCAATGCAGCTACTGTTCTGTTCCCCGTAGGGATGGGATGGGGTCTCTCTCAATCACGGCATGAGAGGGGTGTGTACAGAACACAGCCCTGCATAGGCAGTGGGGAGAGACCTGCTGGCCATGGGGTCCTACACCCACCACGGCGGTCGACTTACTCAAGCTCTGTGCCAGCAAAGCGCTGCTCCAACCAGTGCCTGCCTGTAAGTCGTATCTTTCTTGGCAACTTTGGACCTTGACCCAACAACCCCCAACACCCAGGTTCAAGTGAGAGGAGCAATGCCAAAGGGCATCGGGAGCTGTGCTGGTACCTTCTGCAGGTTAGCGCATGTAATCCCATCTTCTTAGCAAGCAAGGAAGGCAGGAATAACATGTCCCACTTTATGACTGGAGCAGCGGAGACCCAGAGGCTTTAAGGAGCTTGCTTGCAGTCCCACGGCTGAGATGTACTGATCTCTCATCAGCTTGCTTAAAGTCCTTCACCGTCTTCCGCTTGCTCTTGGGACAGGTTCCAATCCTCACCACAGCGCTACACTCCTGCGTGGTCTGGCTCCTGCCCACTCTCCTGTCTCCAGGTTCCCTGCTCCAGCCAATCTGTGCTTGGCGTGGTGTACCCTATCCCAGCTTAGTCAGCTCCCAGGCCACTTCCTCCAAGAAGCTCGCCCTCATTACCCAGAAACACCCTGTGCCTCTTACACCACACATCAAAACCTAAGGCTCCCATGGGACAGGAGAACTGGCCCATAGAGCTTCCATAGCTAGAAATCTTGACAGAAGCCCATTCGGCCACATCTTTCTCCCATGGAGCTGCTGGTGGGTTTGAACGGGTGACCTTTCTGTTAGCAGCTGAGCGTTTAAACACTGCAACACCAGGCACCTTTCACGCACAAAGCTTTTTCCCTTGTAATTTCTTGCCCATCAGTGTGACAGGGCAACAGAGGCCACGCCTGGGCTGTTCGCCGCCATCCCCAGGGTCTGGCTCAGTGTCCGACACAAGGGAAGGATGGTATACCATAAACGTGGCTGGCTGATTGCCTGCTGGGCAGGTGAATGGGTAAATACATGGAAGTCACCTCACCTCCCTGGGTGTCAATGTTCTGTGTCACATGGGGGTCCTTATACCCATCCCCCTAGAGCCACAAGCAGGGTGGGAAGGCAGCAGCAGGCCCTTTCCCGGCCTCTTCTGCCCGCTGCCCTTGTGCTCACGGTATTTCCCAGACGCCAGCCACCCCGTGATGGCGATGGTGATGTGCAGCTGCTTGCCCTCCGTCAGAGGCAGGAAGGTGAACTCTTCAATGGCCCCGACACGCTTCTTCATCTTGTATCCTGGACAAGGAACAGTGGAGGTGACTGGCAGCCCTGACCCGGACAAAGGCATTTCCTTTCTGAGCTCGGTGCCATGGTTGGCCCAGTTACAGCTGAGAGGAAGACACTGCTCAAAGTTGGGCAGCATCTGAATGGCAGAGCCTCGGTTTGAACTTGGGGCCTAGGCTCGAAACCACTCCCCTATCCTAAATTGAATCTGTGCCTTTTTCCTTCTAATACAATTTGGGGGTCTGACACCGTTTACCGAGTAGGCCTGGATCAAATTAACCAAGATTCTCCATGAGGGAGATAAACCCCTGCCTTGGGGAGGTGCAGAGGAATTTATGCGTGTGCATGGGCATGTGTGTGTGTGCACCGACATCCCAAGCTTAGAGCAGTGGTTCTCAACCGGGGGGTCTCGACCCCTTTGAGGGGGCGAATGATCCTTTCACACAGTCGCCCGATTCATAGCAGTAGCAAAAGTACAGTTATGAACAAAAATAATTTTATGGTTTGGGGGTCACCACAACACGAGGAACTGTCTGAAAGGGCGGCATTAGGGAGGTTGAGAACCACTGGCTTAGAAGAACTTCCCTGGGTGATGCTGACACTTGAAGGGCAGCCACGAAATGGCATACTGTACATCTTTAGAGTGCCTGCTTGGGAACTGTCCAGCAGGAATATGCCTTACTGAATGGTGGCAAGCCGGTCCCATCAGG